TGTCTTGTACTGCAATGATCTCATTATCGTACCTCCGACATTACGTACTGCTGTTCTCAATGACTTACATTCCGGTCATCTCGGCACTGAAAAGATGAAATCTCTTTCTCGTCTCACATGCTGGTGGCCTGAATTGAATAATGATCTGAATCGCGTTGCTAAATACTGTGTTGAATATGTGCACAAAACTCACAGACATCCTTCGAAATGGACTCCGTGGCCAATGTCATCCGAGTCATGGCAAAGAATACATGTGGATTACTGTGGTCTATTCTTTAACAAGTATTACGCATCGGTAATCGTCGATTCCTATTCCCGTTGGCCATAAGTGTACTTTACCACAACTCCCAGTTCAGAATTTACTATTCGAGCACTCAGGAAAACGTTCAGTAGAGAAGGTGTCCCGCATGCTATCGTGACTGACAATAGAACTCATTTCACTGCCACGAAAGTTACTGATTGGTTTAACTCCGTGAGTTGTCGGCATGTTCTCACTCCACCCCGACATCCGCAATCCAATGGCACAGCTGAAAACTTTGTACGCACGCTGAAGAGTACCTTTGCTTCTTTGAATCCCAGTACATTTGACGAACTGGACAGAGGCGTTGATAACTTTCTGATGCAATACCCTAACGCAGTACATTCAACTACGGGACACAGTCCAGCAAAGCTGTTTAAGAGTCGAGTACGTCGAACAAATCTTCTGCGCTTGGAGTCTGCGGAAGTCGTGTATCATCGTGGTAACGATTTACGACCCTCCAGGGGCATTGCACTGGACAATATGGGACAAAGAGTATGTCGCATTTGGATCTAGATGATGGCACTGTACATCGCAGACATGTAGACCAAGTAATTTGTAATTTGCCCAATCCTGATACTAGTTGTGAACCTACTAGTCCTTTTATTTCCGAATCTTTTCCAGAGGAATTACATCCCAGTAAAAATGTGGAAAACAGTACAGAAGAACCCAGAAGATCTGAACGATTACTCAACAAAGCCCGCCGTGATTACAGAAGAACAGAGCTTCATTCAAGCTGCGGCGGATGTGGTGATTGCTCATGAACTATGAACTCTTTTGTTTTACTGAACACGATATCCATATATATTTCTAAATTCCGCCTATTACAATTCCATTCCGCCTCTGAGTTGACTTCTGATTTCGTTTCGGGTCCTAGTTTTGGATGGGACTATTAGTGCGCCGAATCCGATACGTATACGAAATACTAGTCCGAGTGCGAACCATAATACCGTGTCAATCTACCGGATGATCAGTTGGTTACTATCAACCGAAACCAAGCTGACATGATACACAAGCTAATCTGACACGTAACATTTTGATCGCAAAGTTCAATTCACATACACACAAACACACACACATACACACACACGCATGACCGCGCGGTTATCTCGTTTCCGGACAAGGCGAGACATGTCGATGACCAGACGGGTCACCAGAAAAACTCACATGTATCAACCATCAACCACCCATTGACCGTCAAATCCATAAACATAAAGGTCAAACCAAGAGGTATAAAGCACCCACTCGCGTCCGTCATTAATCCACATTTTAAATTCAAAATGAAACTGGCTGTCATTCTAGGACTGCTCCTCCTGGTCGCCCTGTCAAACGCGTGAGTTTCACTCCACTCAAAATGCGATCCGCCCTGGTGGCTGCTCTTCAACATGTATCTATTCTAACATCTGATCTGATATTTCAGGGCTGTCGCTGATCAGACAACTCCATTGGCCGATCTGACATATCAAGTAAGTCAATCAGCATGACGGAATTCCATCATCAAACTCACTACCCGTTCACCCAATCAGGAATTCGGTGCGAAAATTTACGTGAAAGCAAAGGCAGTCTTCCCGAAAATGGTTGAATGTTTGGCTAAGAAGGGAGAAGCTCAAAATCTAACGCAAAAGTTCCAAACTGCTCGTGGTGCAATGCGCGAATTTATCTGGGCTTGTGAGTCTCATTCCACTTGAATTTGAACGAGATAAACTGTGTGATTATTGCAATCCATCAATTCAATCTCATTCGATCCAACATAATACGACCTGTTGTTTTCTTTTCTCATTCACAGTGCTTCTGACAATGGACAACGCGGAAACCTCCTAGATCAATCATATCGTCCCGCATGTTTTGGTGTATTGATAATACGTTCGACTGTGTTTTGCCACTTCAGTGTCACTATTACAGTAGTTTGAGTATGCATAAATCATGGGACCCGAACGATATGTTTTCTTTTGGTTCGTACAATTAGTGTCATTTGCGGGTATCGGGTTGTCGTAAACGATTGGTCATTACTGAGGGAGTTTGTTTTGCGCACGTTCATCCGTCAAGCACTCAGACGTGTTATGTGTATGAACTGTTCGTCAAAATATGTCTCACTTTCCCGGTTCGTGTTTTGCGAACACAAATCGATAAAGGCCATTAGCGTAAACGAGTAGCCAGTTCGACGATTGTCACTTACTCCCGATAGTCTATCTACTTGCCGTATAACCGCATTAGGATTAGTCGGTTTCTACTTCCCGAAACAGAAACTCCACAACTGTCACGGAATTGTAATATATTGAAGATTAAAAGACACGCCGAAGCCACGGTACATTGAATCAAGTGAAGCAAACATTGATTACTATTATTGTTACCACAGTATCAACTTTCATAGTCTATGATTTGAATACTATTAGACGAAAATCAGTCATGGCTGGTCAGAGTTAGTACTGTTTAGATTGCAATGTGCATTACTCGTGTACAGATTATTACATTGCAGAATAAAAAACCGTATTGCACAGAATGTATATGCGCAATACACTATCGCTGATCATCTGGAAAACAACGGTATCAAAGTCATTAGATTTGCTTCTTGCACGGGAGCTTCTAACATACTCTGGCTCAAGAATATTCAACCACATCAGAGACAGACTAGAGTTTCTTGGATTTCGAAAATAGAATGAATAGGATTCAAGAAGTGCGTAATCACCTGCCTGTTCGGAATGAGTGTGATCGTGGACTGGGTACGAGTAATATGGATTGAAAAGCTGGAAAACACCAAATTGGTCTATTATTCTCGTTGCCTTTACTTCCGAGTTGACATTTATCGGCTCAACGAAATCGGAATTTTTAGATGACACAGACAGAACGCGAGTGTCCTATCCACTTCCGAACGGATTCAACTGAGTTATTTTGTCCAGGAAAGATATGACGCAAGCGGTTCAGCCACCTTCTTGCATCGACGAACGTTCCTTGTTTCACGTTTATCACTCAGTAGATATCAAACAGTCGCGAGCATCCTCCGGAGTTGTTGACTGAAGGGTTTTGACATGACGCTTTCCCAAGTCTGGTTGTTTATTCTCCGTCAATAAAATATTCAGAAGGCCAGGCGAACAACTGCTTGGAGCATTTAAGCAATTTCAGTTTGAGAACTGGAATCAAATGCTGAAAAGCAGTAAAGAAAAACACAAAACAGACCTCACATAGTTTTTCAAAGATTCAGTGATAAAATGAATAAGGGTGGAGACTGTATTTAAAGTGGATCTAACAGGCTTGTAATTTAACCGTATGGTATCATTTGGAATGTTTATAGACCTCTGGAAGGTTTTGAGGAAAGCCTTTTCAGTCAACTCGTGAGCTGTAGATGCTAAAGTTATGGGAAGAAAACGTTTAGAGAGGATGGAGGATTTTTATGCTTTAGGAATGGGTATAATTGTCACTTGCCTTTAACAGTCTGGGATAGTGGAGTTGTAAAATGATTCATTTGCAATGTAGGTGATTTCTCCATTTGGGGAAACAGCACCCAATTTTGAGAGCCCCGGAGGTAAACAATCCGGGTCCGCAGCAGAGGACGAATTACAATTATTTAAAAGTTTCAAAGGGCTCTGAATAAACGCGATGCTATCAACACGTGGTCCGAGTTTCAGTGCTAACCAATGATGGAACAGTCATCTTGGCCATGGGGTACTGTTAAGCGCAATTTTC